CGGCCACCCCAGATTGGTGGCCTCCCATGTGTGCACAACACAACCATGTGGTCAAAAACTGGAGAAAGTGAACCGGAGAGAGAAAATGCCACTTTTAGGAGGGGTTCAAAAGGGTCACATAGAATTACTGGCCGGCTATGTGATATTGGTGGCCTCCCAGGTGTATACAACACAAATATGTGGTTTGGGGCAAGAAAAAGTGGCCTTAGGGTAGTCAACATTGGCTTTCAAGTGAGAAAAAAGGGCGACAAAGGGCGACGGAGGAATAAAACTGGTTGTCAGAACAATTTCTGGCCTCCCACCCTTCTACAACCTTCTTAACAATGAAACAGAGGTCCCTGCCAAAAATGAACCCAAACCGATGCAAAATGAAGGTTCGGGGGCCGAAACGCGTAGCCCGAGGCCCCAAAAACTAACTGTTAGGCACCGGAAGTGGTGTTCGACCACGAAGTTGGTTTCTCAGACCCTAGTGTCCCTCAAAATGGAGCAAATAAGATGTATGCCAAAAACCGGAGCAAACGGAGGTGGTTAAGCGGTCCCGAACCGAGGCACACGGCCAACGGCTCCGAAAGACCGGAAACCAGACTCCAAACGGGCAAAATGGCCAATGACCACGAAACGTAGCCTACGGCCACTGAGAGATGATCTACGAGACCTCTCCCTCCCTTCGGGAAGAGAAAACAAAGAAAACAGAGCCTGGTTCACAAACCGAGGCAAAGCAAGAAAGAGTCTGGAAGTCCGGAGGCAAGGCTCGCGGCCAAGACTTTGAAACCTCTGAACGAGCATGATATGCAACATCACCAAGCGCTCAATCGATGACATCTGAGTCTTAAGGTCGGTCAGAAATGGGGTGTCTACACCCACCAAGATTCAAACCACCAAGTAAATGAGCTTTAGCTCTAATTTTAAAACCTGGTTCGAGCCTTCAATCCAATTCTTAATCAAAACCCTCAAGCCTTGAATTCGGGTACCTTGAATTGGTGTGAATTTGAAACTAAGATTTCATTAACTAAAAAGAAAATTTAACTTAATCAATTCAGCAAATTGTCACAGTATTTGACCAAAATTTTGACCAATGAACCAGTTGATCCATACCCAATATGTGTGAGAATGAGGAAACATATCAAAAGGATCATAGCCTTATCAACGGTCAAAAAATAACTTGATATAGCACCAAAAGAACTGAAGAGAAAGAAACTGTGGAATCAAATCCCAAATTAATATATCAATATTCAAAATCATATCCTAGTCCAATAAAACCCATTACATAATGTTACCAAAGCCTTTTTGATCCCCATAAGTAATAGAACAACATATGAAAAAGAAAATAGGAGAGGGTCATACCCTTTCCAGTTTGATGCCAATAAAGCCCCAAAATTCCCCTGTTTAATGTCAAACAGTGAGCAAAATGAAGAAAATAATTAGCCCCAGATAAAGTCTACAACTTGATAAGATCAGAACTCACCAAGGATCTTATAAGCTGTAGCTAGAGTATTTAAAGCAGCCTTCCAAATTTCATTATCTCATTCTGCTCTTAGGCTTGGAACAAGCTGCAAGGATTTCAACTATCCAAAAAATAATTATCCCGAGTAACTGATTCAACCGCCCCACATCGAACTCATCGGCACACAAATCAATCTCCCTCCATTCATTGGAAATCCTACTCATACCCTCCAAGCTCTCAATCTCACCTTTTCCATCCTCCACCATGGAATTTAACCCCCCCAATTCACACCCCAATGCTGAAAAAAGAGAATTAGCCGAAAAATCATTGTAATGTCTTCGAAAAACTGGACCAATGTTGACCACATCTAGGGTTTTAGCTTCAAAAGATTGGGTAGATGATCGGAATTGAAATGCTTCGTAGTTGTGGGAGTGGGTCAATTGGGCTTGAAAAGAGGTCGTGAGAAGGAAGAATAGAAGGAGAGGAAGAGAGAGAGAGAGAGAGAGAGAGAGAGAGAGAGAGAGGGATTACGGTTTGGGGGAATTATGGAGTTGGGTGGTGGAGAAGAGAGAGGAGCTGATGGAGGACTCACATATGAAGGGACGGAGGGAGGTTTGGCGGCAGCCAGAGAAATTTGAAGAGAAGAATCAATAACCAAGTGGAAACAAGCATACCTCAAGAATCGATAACAAACATACCTCAAGCATCAAACTAAGATTTTTTCCGGATCGAAGAAAAGAGAAGAACGAAACCCTTCCCCTTCGAACCATCAATTATCACCATCGCCGAACCAGTCTCGCCGCCGAAGAGAAAGCACTGTTCCAGGTCGAAGTCTCGCCACTGCCGAACCAATCTCCTCTTTGAACCCTCTATATTCGGTAAAGTGCTTCGCTACTCAGGCAGCTCTAACTCAAACTCCTAGCTCAGGCAGGAGTTGAATCCGGAGTGGAAGCCGGTCGGCCATAGGGATATTCTAAACTGAGGCATTGTGTCCCGCTCGCAAGGTTCAATGAATGATTTTCAAATGATACAAAGAAAGACTGATTGTTTTAGTTACTCCTTTCTTCTCCGTTTAACAATTTACAATGTCCCTTCAGAACCCATTTGAAGCCAAAAGTTTGTATTTTGACAAACTTTCCTTTTTCTTTCTAATATATTTTTGGTGATTGGCGCCTTCTATTTTATTTTGGTGCTTATTTTTTTCATTCTTACCATTTATGACATAAATTGTGCATCATAACAAAATAAAATATGTTTAACAACTAACATACGTTTGCCGTGTATAGTTGATATATGAACGGCATGTCATATGCACGTCATAGAAAGTTTTATTATTTACGGCTAATATTGTAAGCCGTAAAAAAATTATCGTTATTAGCATTCACGACCTACGCAATAGACACGTCATAGTTAGGAAATTATTTACAACATGCAATAGACACGTCATGGTTGGGAAATTCTTTACGACATGCAAAAAAAGCAAGTCGAAAAAGTGAGAAATCACGGCCTGCATTTATTGCATGTCGTTAATGTGAAGTCATAAAAACCTAATTTTGTTCCTTTCCAAGCTGTCTCTTGGTGCACATGGTTCCTTTCCAAGCTGCCCATGGCACACTTCTTCATCTGTTGCCATCATCGTTCAACATCCAGTTATGTGTGTGCCATGTTTGTTGGTTCAACATCCAGTTCTTCTTCAATGGTTCGACACAACCAAAAATTGTTTTCCGGGCGCACCTTCGCCCCTCCTGGACAGTCCAACATGACCTCATTAAAAATTGTCTCTGGCATTAACTTCGGCCTTTGATCTATCTCAAGCGCCCTTGTGCTTCCATCCAGACTTTGCAATCTATTTACCTCAGATCTATCCATATTTTTAGTTTTATTTCATGTTTTAGTTTTTCTCTTCAAACTCAAGTTATTATCCTTACTTGAGTTTAAGGGGAGGTGTTAAATATAGGAACTATATATTCTATCTATCATATATACCATATTATATTTATTACCATACTTAGGATTATCATACTTAGATTTTTCTCTTCCTATATAAAGGAGTTTTGTATACACATAACATAATGTTCTCTCTCTCTCTCTCTCTCTCTCTCTCTCTCTCAAATATTGTAACATGGTATCAAAAGTGTTTTATTTCACTCCTCTAAAGTCATCACCAAAGCACTAAAGGTAATTTGTTTTTTTTTTTTTGAGGAAGCACATGATGCATCATAATATTAATGAAAGCGCAAGAGTGAGTACATTATCACAATACAGCATTACAACGAAGGATTAAAATAAATATTGCACAACCCACGTGAGAAAACTTCTATCAGCAACACCTGCGAGTACCAACACATTGGTTAGAAAAAAAAAAGAACGTACCATACCTCGAAGGTCAAGATGCCAATGAAAAGCATCATCTTAAGAGAATGCAAAAAAGGCTTGGGTCTTCCTGATTGTCTTCTATGCAATGCGCTCTTTTTCGCTTGACGTGATCTATGCTTTAAGAGGATTGGATAACTTCCATTGCATTGTGGATGTCCCAATGCCGGATCAAATTTGTCCATGCTCATTTGTGCAAGTTCAAGTGTCACCCAAAGTAAAGAATTTTGATTAAAATATGAAAATAAATTCACTGAGAATAAAAAAATTTACTCACTTTTTTTTTAGATAGGGAACTAAGTCACTTATAATTTGTAAATTGAGCCAAAGGAGGCATTAAATGTTGGTTAGTCATGTGTTGGTAGCCAAACATCGATATAGTTAGACCATTCATTTTTTTGAAATTAAATATAATGAAATAATGTGTTATGATTAATGGATCAATCTGATTTATTTATTTATTAACGAATGATTTACCAACACGAGATTACAAAATTAATAAATCAGATTGTTGAAGTAAGATTCATGATAGATCTCATGTGCAATGGTGGAGCTAGAAAATCAATTTAGAGATGTCACCTATTAAACACAAATTCAAAATGTGTATTCTTCTAGTCAACAACAATAAAATAATGGATAAAAAACAATTTTAGCCTTTAAAGTATGCACTTATTGTTATTTTAGTCTCTTAAATTTTAATTTTGTCATTTTAATCCTTAATGTTACTAATTTAAGTCATTTTGGTCCTAAAGCTAACGTCTGTTTCCCTTACGAACGAAAAATCTAGTTTATCCTGTTTTTGCAAGGGCAATACTGGAAACCAAAAGAGAGAGAGAGAAACCGAGAACGAGAATGAGGAATGGAGAGATTCGAATGTAGGGTTTTAGTTGCTTCAGAAATTGGTGAAAAAATCTAAATTCATTTGTGTTTGCTTTATTTTATTGGGAAAGCTACAAATCAGTGGGATTTTGGAAAATATTTACAGATTCACGAAAAAATTTATGAATTTAATTATTACTATCGATAAACTTTATCATGAGTTTGAATGAGTTTGAATTTTTTTTTTTTTTTTTTTTTTTTTGCAAAAATTCTCTATTTTATTTTATTGTCATAGCTTCTAACCAAGAAACAAGTGGGGTTGATGATGTTGGTCTTTTGGGTGAAAAGAATAATTTTTATTCAGACATGGAAATAGGTGATGACATTCTGTCACATATTGATCTTGGGTCATATGGTGGGGTTAGTACTACTGTTGGTGAAAGTTATGTGAAGCCCCTAAAAAAATGTATTCACTTTAAAGACCCTAATGTTTGAATTATTTCCTCTCAAAACAAAAAAAATGTTTGAATTAGTTTCTTAAAGCCCCTCGGTTACTTGAATTATTTCGAATCTTTTCGGTTAGCATTTTTTTTTATCAAAACAGGAATATCCTAGCCGGATTAGGTTCCTTAGTCTAATTTAATTTAATCCTACATAAATAAGGTTCCAAAACATAAGTTTTATTCCAAGCCCTCACTTCTTTTATTAATTTCAAAATTTGCCCCAAAAACTAGTACATGTACTTTTATATTATAAGTACCATCAATCAAATTGAGATCTATCTATATATATATATACATAGGGGAATGTGCCCCTCGTATCTAAATTGAACAAAAAATAAGCCCCATCACCCTTCCCAATGGCCGGCCACCCTAGGGAGATGTGAGGAACCTATTTTCAAGAATTGTAATCATGGTCTTCTAGAAACCCTAACACCTAGTACCCCTAAACCTAGGGTTTTGTTTCCAATGCTAGTTTCATTTCAACTAGGGACCAACTAGATATTGCCTAAGCCTATGATTAAGCTCCCTAATCACTCCTATCCCATTAGACTCCAAGTAAATCATAACATTTCCATCCATTTCCAACTAGTGGGCTTTTATGTCATTTTACACCAAAATTTGCCTATAAATACCACCATTCCTTAGCTTGGCAAGCACAAACAACACACTCACACACACACATTCGGCTAGAGGAGAGGAAGGAAAGCAAGAGAGAAGTCTTGAGAGGAAGGAGAGCAAGAGAGAAGTATTGAGAGGGAGAGGAAGGAAGAAGAAAGCCACCTTGTTCAAAGCTTAGCAAGTAAACCACAACACAACCTTCTCTTTCATTTTTCCTTTTTCAAATACATGTTCTTAAGGGTTCTAAATAATTTTTTCAGATGTGTTATTGATGAGTTACTTGTGTTAAGAATGATAAGAGTTGAACCTTGATCCTACCTCTCTTGTATTTTTCCTCATTTCGGTACAAAACAATCTTTTTCATACCGATCTCTCAAACTTTCCAAAGGCACACTTTCAAGAAAATTTTTTGAGTTAAATATGTGTTATTTAGCATGTTTTCATCACAAAAGAGATGAAAATTTTCCCTTAGTGGATCCCTTTTCTCATAAATCTTCTTGCTTTGGGCATTGTACCTTAGAATCTGTTTTCGCAGCCCACTTTCAAAAATTCTAGAAAAATGTATAAAATTATTCTGGGCCTCTATTTTATGTCAAAATCTTCCTTAAGGAGTTAACTTTCAATAAAATTGGTTTCATAGAAAAACAGTGAGCGGTTTGCAAGGAAATTAAATTTTCGTAACGATCGACGAATCTGGATAGCGCTGGAGTGTTTTCTAAATAACTTAAAATCTAGAAAAGCTATCCCATTTCTGAAATATGTTCTGGAAACTAGATTAAATTCTCTACGAACCATAGGAAGGCCAAGTCCGGTAAAAATTCTTAAATAGTCCTTTTTATTCTAATCCTTATGTGATATCGAATCTGGAAATTCTGTTGTGTTTGATGTCTTATGCCCTTGTGTTCATGAAAATGCTTATTAGCTTATGATCATATCTTGGCATGATATTGTATGTGTTATGGTTATGTTTTTTATCTTCTTCATTTTATTGATGCATGCTTGTGTGGATACTATTATCTTGTTAAGTTGTCTAACCTTGATTTAAAACATTTAACTAAACGGAAAACTTAATTGGGATGGTATTGAGTTTTCAATCACTTGAGTAATGAAAAGATAATAATGTGTGATGTATGGATTGTTGGGATGCATTCCCTATTTGGAAGGTAAAGTCTTGCGCAAGTGGTTTTCGGAACCCTCGAATGGAGCGGTTGTATTCGGACCCTAGATGGTTTGGTGTGAGGAGGGATTCGGGCAAGGCCCTATTTTACCGTCTCTTTTGAGGCCCCGCGGTTGGCGCTACGCGGTATATAACCGTTGGTAGGCATCCGAGGTTAGTTCTGCAACAAAGCAGCAAAAGGGGGGGCATACCGAATAATCCACATCCGATTCTTATGGTTGGAAGGACGAAATCTCTTTGGGGAATTTCTAGTTTACTAACATCTAACTTGTAACCCTTTATTTATTTAATTGAGTGTCATGCTTTACTACTTGCTGTTATATTTGAGATTGTGTATTGGACTGGGAAAAAATGGACGGGGTGTGCGTGTGTTTACTGGGCATTCAAAGCTCATGGCGTATCATGCCAGGTGACGAAGAGGAACTTATAGCTGGAGACGACGAACCTGAAACCTTCGAAGACTTTTGGCTATCTTAGGAAAGTTAGAAATTTCCTTTGTTATTTTGTAAGACTCATGTGAAGATTTAAATTTTCTTTTGGGATGTAATGTAATGGAACAAGCTTTTGAATTAAGGATATTTGTGGTTGTTATGTATTTATATTCTACGTATATGTATGAACCTTATCGTTGCTTATGAGACCTTG